TGTATTTGGGTAAAAAGACATGGAAAATGTACAAAGCTGGTGGTTCTCCAGGAACTTGGTTGAGAAACACTGTTGTAGGTAAACCTGGATAATGAGCACGTCACACTACATGAAGTTCAGGAGGAGCCTAATTATTCAAAAGTGTCTGTCATAATCACGTGTATACAAGTAGCAGCCATTGCACTGTTCCAATTGAATTTTTGTCCTGCACTCCTTCCACCTCTCCATCTCCTCCTTTTTATGTCATTTAAGATTTATGTAATCTCCTATTTCAAAATACCTTGATAGGAAGGTTCGAACTCAGAGCTGAAGTCAAGCTACGAGCTTTATCCAGGGATGACATTTATACTATTATAGACTAGTTGTTTACACAAACTTCAAACGAAACGTAAAAGTGAATTTTGCATAACAGTTTGTATTTAGTTGTTGAATGCAGGGATTGGTAAAATTAATTATAGTCTATTTGATGTTTTCCTAATTAGTTTTTAAGGCAAACCTGCTCAAATCTTATGTTTTGTTTTAAAGTCACGTAAAGTAACACGTTTATATCATTAACACTATATTGTTTTCATTTGTTTTTTTTTTATGTGCATCACCACAATTTAATGGTCTGCCAGCTTTAGGTTTCTCAATAGATTTTAGATTCATAGCAAGCATTTGCATGTGTTTTCACCCAATACAAATATAGGAATACACCATGTGTTATAAATTGGGGAATTTTGGTTTAAGTTAGCGCTCTATTTAAATGGCACTTTTTCAGAACTATGTATACTCAGACTCGATCTGCTTCCATTCAATCAACAACTGATGAAGGGAGCAAAATCTGTCATTCCTAGACAAAGTACTTACAGTTTATTTTCTCAATAACCCTCCAAAGTTTTTTTTTTCTTTATTGTTTTTTTTTAATAAATCAACCAAAGATTCTTGTTCTGAATATTCCTGACGAACTTTATGGTATTTAAACAGTTGTTAACAGCATGAGATTTTAGATTGTATCTTGCATATTTTCAATCATGTGGTTCTGGCGACACACGAAATTCAGATGGAGGGCAGGAAGTTAAAAGTTGAAAGGGAGACATAAAGGAAAGTCCATATTTTTGCAATTCATACCTTATCTCAAAGGAGATATAAACAAAAGATAACTATATATGTTGGGCTTTAGATATCTATGCTATAATTTTACACCATCACAATGCACCACAGTTTACACCAATGTTAAAGCATTTATTACAGTTTACCATGCTGCAGTATTTGGTAGCATTCATTAACAAAGAGTTGTACGCATTATACACTTTTCTATGTGGTTCAAAAACATGCTTATTATAAAAAACTGTAGTTTTCCCCCATGCAAAAATCTTCCAGACATCACAAAATAACAGATGAAAGCATACAAAAAGCATGGAAACATAGTCTACATTATTAATTATTTATTTTGGCGAGGGGGAAAAAGTGCTTCACAATCATAATTGTCTAGTTTTGTCGCAAAATGTATTGCGTTTCTTTTTTGTTCTGAACAGAAACATTTTGATGTTCTGATAGCGATTCCTATGCAGAAGAATCACTTCCTGCCCTCTATCTGAATTTCGGCATCGTGAAAACAAACTATACGATAAAAGAATTTGTTGGCATTTTTTGATGCCATTACTTTTTTATTATTAAACAAGGCACATAAATATAAAGATAGGTAGGGGCAAAAACAAATTAATACAGCATCAAGCTTTTATTGTTATATGCATGAAATCCAAGTGCCACTCTTCCCCCCTAAACAAGCAGCACTGCAGACTACATACCTAAATTTCAACCTTTAATTTAATAATCACAACTTGACAAGAGACAGTTTACACAGTTAATCACATTTAAATCAGTTAATTATTATCTTTTCATCAATTCTCAAACCCTTGCTTTGGAAAACCTAGTTAAAGACTGCATTTGGCCAAATGGGTGTGACACACAACTACATGTCACATTTTGTAAACCAAAGCAATGCTTGAATGTTACACTGACCTGCATTTGAGACCAGCCCTACCTGTTTTATAAACAAAAACATAACTGCATGTAATGTTAGTGGCTGTTGAACCTCATACCTGCACTGATGAGAAGATCCATTATATGAACATCCCCCAGCCAGGCAGCAGCATGAAGAGGTGTGCGGCGCTCTTGGTCCTGACACACACAAAATATTGAGGAAAACAGATTTTTTTTTAGGCTTTCTTTCCACACCGACAGTTTTAAAGGCCCACACACCCCATATGTACAGTCATCTGTCCGTTCGTACTGATTGCTATGCAAATGACACATTATTCATGCACACACTATCACAAGCCATCCACCAACATACCAGTGCATTGACTTCATCTTTCTTGTGCAAAAATAACTTCACTTCATCTGCATTTCGGTTAAATATGGCCTGGACCAGAGGCGGCTGGAGGAGGAAAAAAGGTGGATGTTATAATACTGTTATGAAACATGACAACAAATCCAAAGTTTTAGATAGAGCAACATCTTTTAAACTGTAAGTGTCCATTTTGAAGTGCATAACTGTGTGATCACAAGCAAACATGATGATTATTAAGGATTGTCATTGACTAGCTGCAAATACAACACACACTGCTAACGCATCTACGTTGATAAAATAAATACGCGTTCAGTGTTATTATACAAAGCCAGTTCTCAAGAAAAACGCAATGATATTCGAAACATATTAATATATGTTTGCGTTTTATAAAGATAAACACACAATAGATGTTTTCCAATGCGGCTGGCTGACACCCAGCTCATTAGGTTAGCAAGCTGGCTAACGTCTGGGCGTGATAAAAAGCCTGTTTTTGCATTTAAACTCCTTTTTGATATCCCTACCATCAATAAACAGTATACAATTATTTTTTCCACATCAAATGCATTACAAGAAGCATGTATTGGTGCGAGGAATTGTGTGGAAGATTGGATAATCCACCGTCAGGCAGCTAGCTAACATGTCAGGCTCTGCACAGAAGCGCAAAGAGCGAACACTAAACTGCTTGATTTACGCCATTCGTGGGATTTTACCATGGCTCACCTGGTCTGAAATATTGAGTACCCCCATCTCCCTGCGTCAGTCGGGCCGAAAGTCCCTCATCAGTAAGGAATCGAGGCTGGGAAACCAAGACGACAATCTTGTGTTGCGATTATGGACGTGATGAGTGAATCTTTAGCTGGTGAGGCAGTTGAAAATAGCGACACCAGCGTGATGGCCGCCCGCTGAAACGACTTTCAAAATAAATGCCCGACAACTAAACCTTGCTGTGGAAAATATACTTTGCAAATGTCAATGTGCACCAAATACACCCCCTCCCTCACACACACAAATAAAAAATAACTTTTTTTTCTGTTTAAATAAACTTTAAATGTAATATGTTAAGTCATATTATCATAGAGAAGTACAGATAAAGCTGTTTTTACAGACAACAACATAAAATCAGCTGCTGTTAACACCGCAGAATTAGTTATTATTGTTATATATTTATTTTTCAAAATCTAGATTATAGAATATTAATATACCCCTAGATAAATAGTTGCAAAGCATTTTTCACAATACACACACAACTATATTTACACTTCTTTTTATTTCCTACATCTAAAGCAATCGCTGCAATAAAATGAATTATTTGAATTACTGTTATGATTTCCAATCTTTAGAAAATAGAATGACACAATATTTATTTATTTAAATCAATAAATATAAATTTACTACAGAAATATTGTCATTTGAGATTGCTTCACAATGATACATTTTGATTGGCAAATCTGACCTTTAACACATTAAGCTAAACCTTCTGCCCCATATGCAGAATGCAGATCTACCGGATATACTAAGACACAATAAAGGAGACCAATTTTGCTTCATAATAAATAGGCGTAATGCATTTCTGTGTCCACAGAATGTGCAGCTACAGCTCAAATTAAGCTACAGATCATTTATTTTTTTATGTCATGCTGCAAAAAAAAAAATGACCCAAAAAATGTGCATCTCTTTAAATGCAAATGAGCTATTTCCAGAAGAAAGTGGGTCCTTTACAGTCTTTCTCAGATATTCTCAAGACAAGACATTGTTTTGGTTTTATCATGTCTACTGCACTTATGTGACATTTTAGTTCATCATCATGATGAAAGTTTATTATCCTCATCCGTTTTAAAGCCTTGTTGGTCTGTCTCGCTTTGTCCACTCATTTCAAAGCATTTGTGGTATCAGCCTTTGCTAAGCAACCATCATCTGTGCTCTCCATGGAAAATTTTTATTTATTTATAATTTTTTAACATGAAAAGATTAAAAGATAATTGGGCCTGACTCAGCATGAATGCTGTTTTTCAGCAGATTCCTGCTCCGCAGAACATAAAAACACACAGACACCCATTAACATGTCAAATTATATGAAAAATACATAAAATAATATAATAATTTGGTAGCATTAAGGTCTGAGGTGTTTGTGTCTACTCCCACGATTCAAATATTATAATAAAACTAGGATTAAAACTGATTTACCTAGCTTTTGTACCTCGTTTTCAGGTCAGAACTTAAAAATTAAATCTTCTGTGTCAGTTTACCGTTTTACTAAAGAATCATGTAGAAAGCAAGGATGTGAACATTTTGTTATCTAAAAGACTTGACATTTCTGTAAGATGTTCGACATTTAACTATTAACATTAACAGCTAGTTCGTGTGTGATGGTTCTTTTATTCAAATCATTAAAATAAAAATAAAGATAACATATTTAGAAGTCTTTAGAATAACTTAATAAAAGTTTTATGAGCATGCTACAATACCGTATTGACGATGACTTCAAAAAATGCAAATTTCTACTTTTGCTTTCATTTTTAGGAAATGGCTATGCAACAGTTATTTCTTTGTTTGACTTTTATTTTGGAATTGCACAGAAAACAACAACCTTCCGGTCGCCCTGTTGGAAATGTTGATAGGGTTGCCATTTTCGCCCAATATAAAAACACCAAATACAGTTTTTAGCAAACGCAGAACGCACAATGAGTTTATTTGCGAATGCTAAACATCAGAGGAAAAACCACTAGAGTTCTAAAATGGCAGACTCGGTAATGATGGGGAGCGGATCTTTAAACTCCGGAAGCGTACGTTAAATATCTCCTTTCATTAACGCTAACGTTACTCTTTCCTTCACCCTGCTGGCTCAGCCAAACAATACTAACTTTAGTTTTTTGATCAAAATTAGACTTAAAGGCACTTGTGTAATATATTTTAAAGCAGACACCGTATCGTATGTAAACACGTCTGTATATATATATATATATATATATATATATATATATATATATATATATATATATATATATATATATATCAATTATATAGTGAGCTGTTGCAGATCAGTGTCGTCAAACAGTGTTTTATATAACTGGTAAACGTCTTGTTAAAGCCGAAAATCACAAACTTTACTGTACTGCAACTGTACAAACTCAATTTTCTCCCAGCAGGAGTTTTCTATGAAACAATGCTAATGTCACTCATAATGACAAGTTATTGTGCATGGAGAATTGGGTTAGCATAATATATTAACAGTAAACTAGATTATTGACAGGAATGGGCAGTTTTACATACCATAATTTAATACCACACTCTTAATGCAATCCACAGTGGAATAGTAATCTTAACCAGATTCTCAGATGCAAAAATGAATGCAATAGATGCATTTTTGCCTCAGTAATTATAAGCACAGCCTTACAAAATCCCTAACTTTTTGTTAAGGATCCATCCATAAAAAATAAAAAAACATTAACAAAGATTGAGGTAAAGGTGGCTTTATATTCACACATTCAGACTTTGTCCTTAATAATATAAGTTCAGAAACATGTTGTTTGCAAATTCTAAATAGGGAAATCCTATTAGCAGCAGTGATAATGTTGTTTTGAAGTCATTACCTAGCTAAAATTTTACCCAATACTGTTATGTTATCGTTGGCCATGGAATTAATTTAAACAGGATTGGTAAAATACGATGTCTTCTATTTGCTGGACAAATGGTAGATTTAGTAGGTAAAGCTTTTAATCTGATTCAGTTTGACTCAATTGAGTTGAATCAAGTAATTCAGATCTTCAAGATTTGGTTCCTTTAAATGACCTAATAAATCCCTGACCAATGTTTTAATATAGGTTGATCCCTTACACTTAATAATCAAAGTAGCATGGAAAACAATATAGCGACTCACAAGTTGTCACTTTATGAATGTGCCATATAAAACCAACTTAACTAAGCAGAAATTAACTTAAAATCACATACGATTCCACAATGTGAGTTATAGTAATTTCCAGTAAAGTAAATCTACCTCAAAACGTTTTGATTTTCATAAAAACTTAATTACATGACTAACTTTTCCATTATTTTTTCAAAGTTTTATATTCATGAGTCATAACTAGGGCCAGACGGAATCTGCAGATGTTTTTTGCTATTTCTGCTGAGATTTTTGGTAAAAATCTGCGGATTTCTGCAGAATTATTTTGGGAGTATCCAGCGGAGTATCAAAACTAAAACCTTAATATATGAAACAAAAAGTAATAAATTACTGAATAAAAACTGAATAAATTTAGATTTACACATTTACTCAAGTAAATAAACAGAATTAATGATGGGCTAAAAATCTGCAGAAATTCTGCGGAAAATCTGCGCGCGCAGATTTCGTGTGGGCCTAGTCATTACCACTAAATACAATTCCTCTTTCTTCAACACTAATCTTAGAATAAACTTTGAAACCTTTTAAAAACTCAGAAGCTTACAGTATAGGAACCATACTAATTGTAAAACATTTCAAATAAATGCAGTTCATTTAGCCCTAACTTAATCTCTTTTATTGCATTTTCAAAGAAATGCCTTGCTGTATTAAATGCAGATATGTTTTAAAACTTCCTGATCTGTAAAACCTTCTTATCATCTTTTATTTTATTATTTCCAGCGCTCGGGGAGCAGTAAGACCTGCACCAGTCCCACAGAGAACTATCAGCTGGCTCGGAGACGCACGCTGCAAGTGGTGGTCAGTGCTCTGCTGACCGAGTGTGGCTTTGATAGCGCTGAGAAAGCTGTTGTGGAGACACTCACTGAGATGATGCAGAGCTGTGAGTCCTTCATTTACTTTAAGCAGCTCATCTTGACAAAATTTAAAAGCTTATGCATACCAATATCACAAATCATCGCGTTTTACTTTTTACGTTTGTGTGTATTTGTATGTAATTTATGGTTCTATGTTCTAATTTAACCACAGTTTGGGAACCAAAATTGAGCTATAGTTGAATAAAAGCTCACAAAACAATACAATTACTTTACACTTTTCTGTACATTAGAATGTGTCTATTTAAAAATATATTAATCTGAGCAAATAAATTATCACTGAAATGTCAATAAGACTAATATTGTATACACTAAAAAAGTTTTTTTTTTTTGTCAGGCATACAGTATTTAGAAAAGTGTAGCTCCCAAAAATTTTAATTATTGTCATTTTAAATCTTTTTACTTGTTCACTATTTATTTAGATTACTAGTTTACTTATTTGTCTGCTAAGTTATAGTTTATTAATAGGTCATAAATGGATAAATACATGTTTTTGTGTGTCTAGTATGACCATTTATTCTTAAATATATTTTAATAAGTAGAGCTCATGTTTGCTCCGGTTTCCCCCCACAGTCCAACGACATGTGCTGTAGGTGAATTGGGTACTTTTTGATTTTTAAGAGTCTTGTTGTCTTTTGATAGATATAACAGAAGTTGGACGTTGCGCAAAGGCAAACTGTGAGCACACAGCCAGAAGCACCCCTACTCTGTCTGATGTGGTCATTACTCTCGTCGAAATGGGTTGGTTTACTTTCAATGTTAGGACAAATTAAAGATTCAACTTCTTTTTTAATATATATATATATATATACATGGTTTAGTCATGCTAATGAGATTTAGGCTAATCCTGGATTTACTTTTCCACAATCGCAGGTTTTAATGTGGATACTCTTCCAGTGTACGCCAAAAGATCTCAAAGAATGGTTATAACAGCACGTAGGTCTCTATTATATCTAAATATTTATATTTTTCTGCTGTAACTGTTCCTGTTTTAATTGGTAACACTTATGCATTTCACAGCTCCGATAACAAACGCTCCGGTGGTACCAAAATCTCTGACGGCTGGACAGAAACGCACTCACCCGGCACACATCCCCAGCCACTTCCCTGATTTCCCAGATCCTCATACATACATCAGAACACCAGTGAGTCTTGCTTGTGTCACTCACCTGATTCGGTTGTTGTGTATTGTTTAGCTCAACAATTGATAACATTATAGTTATAGCTCTACAGAATATATGAAGAGTTCAAATGAAAAACCCCTTAAGTGCCATCTGAACTTTTTTCGAAGCCTCCTTTGTTTATGTTGCGTTATTTCACTTTAAAGACCATGAAAATGACTTATTCTTTGCCATAAAAGTGATATTAGTAAACCTACTCACCGAAGCTTGTTAAAAATGCTAATTTTAGAAGAAAACTTTTGATGCCATTTAGAGGTTTTTGCATCTGAACTCTTCATATGCATCTACTGATATATAAAACTGCTCTTTCACTACTGTTAGAATAACTTCTAGTAGGACGAGAGAGTCTATATCATTGCAAAACATTTTATAAAGATCACTTTTCTATAATAATAAAATATTATATCAATAAAAAGACAATCAGCAGCAATAAATAATACATTCATTTATTTATTCATTTTCAACTGCTTTTCCACGGCCGAGTCACGGGGGCAGCAGTCTTAGGAGAAAACCCCAGACCCCAGCTCCTCAGACATAATCCCTTCAGTGTGTCCTGGGTCTTTCCCGAGGCCTCCTCTCAGTGGGACATGCCTGGAACACCTCCCTAGGTAGGCGTCCAGGAGGCATCTGAAACAGATGCTCGAGCCACCTCAGCTGACTTCTCTTGATGTGAAGGAGCAGCGGCTCTACTCGTGAGCTCCTCCCAGGTGACAGAGCTCCTCACCCTATCTATAAAGGTGCGCCCTGCCACCCTGCGAAGAAAACTCATTTCAGCTGCTTGTATCCGAGATCTCGTCCTTTCGGTCATGACCCAAAGCTCATGACCATAGATGAGAGGAGGAACGTAGATTGACCGGTAAATCGAGAACTTTGCCTTTCGGCTCAGCTTCTTCTTTACCACAACGGACTGGTACATTGACCGCATTACTGCTGCCGCTGCACCAATCCGCCAGTCAATCTCACGTTCCATCCTTCCCTCACTCGTGATCAAAAGCCCAAGATACTTGAACTCCTCCACCTGGGGTAAAGACTTTCCTCCAACCTGGAGATAGCAAACCACCTTTTCCCGGTGAAGCACCATGACCTCAGACCTGGAGGTGCTGATTCTCATCCCAGTCATGTTACACTCGGCAGCAAACCGCCCCAGTGCATGCTGTAGGTCACAGTTCGATGAAGCCAACAGAACAACATTGTTGTCCCTGAACCAGCCCCCCTTCTGCCCAAGGCTGTGCTTTGAAATTCTGTTCATAAAAATTATGAACAGAATTGGTGACAAAGGGCAGCCCTGCCATAGTCCAACATGCAATGGAAACAAGTCTGACTTATTGCCTGCAATGCGAACCAGACTCCTACTCCTGTTCATACAGCGATGAGACAGCACTTAACACAGCACCTCTAACCCCATACTCTCTGAGCAGAGCACCCTCCACAGAATGCCATGAGGGACACGGTTGAATGCCTTCTCAAGTCCACAAAACATATGTGGACTGGATGGGCATACTTCTATGAACCCTCGAGCAACCTGGTGAGGGTATAGAGCTTGGCCAGTGTACCCCGTAGCTTGGACGAAAACTGCATTGTTACTTTTAAAACCTAGGTTCAACCATTGGCCGGATCCTCCTCTCCAGTACTGTGGCATAGACTTTGCCAAGGAGGCTGAGGAGTGTGATCCCCCTATAGTTGGAGCACACCCTCCGGTCACCCTTCTTAAAAATGGGAACCACCACCCCAATTGCCCAATAAATGATACAAAAGAAAAAAATCTAAAACAGCTCACTTTTGATTAAAACATTGTACCAGTTATGAAGGATTCACATTTACAATAATGTTCCTTTAAAGTCTCTCTAGATAAAAAATCATTGATTGATAAGTGACCTCAAAATTTAGGAAATTGTTGTCATTGGATGTCTTACGTTTTTGTTTTAGACCTTTCGAGAGCCTGTATCAGACTATCAGGTGGTGAGAGAAAAGGCAGCGTCTCAGAGAAGAGATGTTGAACGAGCTCTCACACGCTTCATGGCCAAGACCGGAGAGACGCAGAGCCTATTTAAGGATGACATCAGTGCTTTCCCTTGTGAGTTTAATCATAGAATTTGAGTGTACTGCACTATTGCCTGTTTATTGAATGTGTATTCATATTGAATTTGTATGTGTGTAATCAGTGATCGCTGCAAAACCAAGCCCCATCCCATATCTGAGTGCCCTGCTGCCCTCTGAACTGGAGCTACAGTCACTGGAGGAAACGGATTCGTCTGAGCAGGATGACCAGATGGACAATGATAACAACACCAGTCACATCATGCAGGCAAGATTTAAACAATCTTTCCTTGTCAACATTTTCCATGTTTGTGAATGTAACTAAAATACAGTCAAAACATTAATATCGTGATTCATTTATCGCGATTTATTTATTTAATTATAGTTATTAATTATTGTAAGAGGTGTTTTTTTGTGTTAATATATTGGAAAATATAAATTTTTCATGCAATGGCAAAGCTAAACTTTCAAGAGCCCCTACATAATCATTCAGAAATCATGCTAATGTGCTCGGTTTTTGAAAATTATTCATGTTTCACAAATAAAATAAACAATTTACACTAAATAAAATGATTTTCTTGCTTAGATTTAGATTTCTTGATTAGATATTTTTGTCTAAATATCTACAAATTCCTAAATCAAGAAGCATTTTCTAGACAAGCAAAACATATAGTCTTGTTTCCAGAAATAATAGGCCAAAATTAAGTGTTTTTCCTTAAAACAAGCAAAATAATCCTGTTTTTCATTTTTACGTAAGATTATTTTATTTAATTTTAGGATAAATAAGAAAATAAGAGTACGCATAAATAAGAAAAGCGTTTTTTGCAGTGTATGATTTTAATATTTCTGTGGAAACTTATATTTTTAAATATATTTGAGGAGTGAATGGCTAAAATACCATTTTAGGTTTTGTTTGTAATATTAATATTTACTTGAATCAATTTTATGATTTCTATTTATTTATTTACATTATTTACCTAATTTCTGAAGGATCACGTGACACTGACAACTGCTACAAAATATTAGGTGCATTCAACTTGAACCATAGCTGCAGCTGGCAATCAACAAGATTGGGAGGCTGTCAGGTCAGACACCTCGGGGCTGGTATTTAGCTGCATGATGACAAATCAAATCACATGGCGAGATCAATGATTTATTTATATATTAATCCAATCACATTAATCCCAAAAGATTGGACAAAAGAAGTGAAATGCACTTTCAGTGGAAATTTGACAGAAAAAGCAAGATATATCAATGTTACTTTTAAATGTCTTGACAGGATATTATTATTATATTATTTTGTATTATTTTAGAACTATATTATAGAATAATTATTTATCCCAATTTGTTAAGAAAAACGTTATGTTGGAGGCACAATCAATGATGACTATTATATTACAAGTCTGTAAAACTTATTTGAGTTAATATTTGGTTATTTACTAAAAAACATAATTTAAATCGGAGATGAAGCTGTATACAGTAAAAGGTCTGTATGAAAATCGTCAAAAATAAACTTATGCAACGAATCTAGCTTTTATAAACAAATTATTTAACAAAAAAGATGATTAGGCCTACTGCAGTAAAATATTTGAAGTCTTTTAATAAGCATGATATGTACAAAATGAATATAGCATAAAAAGTTAATTGTTTGTTTGGAAGTTTGTGAGACGGAAGTTGTCCAATAACAAACCTGAAACACATGTGGTTGTTGTCATGCGAGGAATCCAACCAATTGTATAACATCGGTGTCGTCATCGCAGTTCCTGCAGTCGCTCTTTAGATGCTGCACTGGCTGAATCAGTCGTCTGATCTCAGAGAGCTGTCACGGTACTTTGAAGCCACATGTGGTAGTTACGTGGCGTTGGTGCAGCTTCAAGCCGAACAAAATGTATAATCGGCATGCACCCCTTTAAGACAGGTTTTGGTCAATCTCCACAGCACTGCATGAAGTTGAACGCACCTATTCTCTAAATTCAGGAATAAATTGAAATGGTCATTTGATTTTTTATACGTCATAATATTATTGTTTGTACTCAATTTCTTGTCAATCAAAAGCACTCTTAGTGAGCATAAGTGACTTCTTTAGTATAAACTAATTTTTATTATGTGTTAGTTATTGATTAGTTATTATTATTAACTAATGTGTATTCTTTATGTGTATTTTTCTATTTTTTGTTGTGGAAATGTATGAGATTGTGTGATCCGGAAGTGAATAAACAGAGCAACATGCTGTGATGAATACTGTCTGATGAAGAGCCGGTGTGCTGAAACGTTACACGCTTTGTGTTAGCCTTTTTAATTTAACAAATTGGTGTTTTTTGGAGCTTTGGTTTTGCCGCCTCTTAAATATATTCTTCTTTAGCATTAAAAATATATAGGAATATAACAGGAAAGTTAATTGCTATAATTTGTCAGTGAATATAAAATAAATCAAGATATATATATATATTTTTTTTTCATGAAAAAACATTGATAGTAAAATCAGGTAATAGTCTGTGTTTGTATGTCTATATACTGTACAAATTCATAATTTAACATATTTCATTTCAATTTGTAGGACGACTCCGGTGCAGATAAGGAGAATGAAGTGCTGCCACCTGGTGGTGTTGTGCCTTCAGGCAAGGCCAATGAGGAAAACATGATTGACAACCCATATCTACGACCAGTCAAAAAGCCCAAAGTGAGAAGGAAAAAATGAATTTTGCTCTACTGACTTGGCCACATCTACATCAGTTGTTTCTGAATAAGACTTCTCAGCACTTGCTTTTCACATTGTGCTCCTTGAAGTTAGTACCATATGACAAACTAGAGTCTTCAACGACTGCAATTCAAAAACACGCAGCGATCTATCAGGTTACTGACATCTGATTCTTATTTAATGAAAAACTGTTCTGTACACGTCAATAATATTAGATGGATTTCACATCACTTACGGTTGATGTTTTTTTTTTTTTTTTTGATAAGAATTCCCTTGAAATACCTTGAAGTTTTCAACCCATCTGAAATGTGACGTTTCTTTGGATTTGTGTTTGTTATTCATTTGTGAATGGGGTAATAAATGTCTTTCATTGTTTATTTTTAGCCATTGTTTCAAAAGGACATGTTAAAAAATTAAAAATCAGAATATAGATATATGTGTCCTGTTACTTTGATAATTACTAAAAATATTAATTGATTACACGTTATGTACCTGAAACATCTAATATGTTAAAATATGCTTTCAAAATAGTTCATGGTCATATTCTAAAATGGAAACACAAATCAAGTGGGTAAAACTTGTCTTTTAAAGCTTTAATGTTTGTACACACTTAATTCTTCTAGTAGTATTTTAGTATCATCAGTAAAACAAGTGTAGATATGCCACCCTGTTCCTCTGTTTCCTAAACTCTTTGTCATGGAAAAGCTGCATGAACACAAAATTTATAAAGATCAATATGAAAGGAATTCATACCCACTAACCTTAGTGGTTGCATTTATCATTAAAAAACAAAAGTCGACCCTATCTGTACCTCTGTCCGCAGTGCTCTTCTCTCCAGCATCGGCACTTTTGTCCAGTCTGGAGAGCCGAATTTCATAGGCCATGACACCTTCTTGCTTTGGATAGCATCATGAGCGTATGCCCCTGGACTAAACAAAAAAAAAAAGGCAAATACAGGAGTTTACAAAGATTATAGTGTTGTCTATTAGTAACTGCAACAAGATGTCATCTAGCAGAACTACAGTGAATGCGGTGGATTTGTGTTTGGATATGTACTGGTAGGAGAATGTTGTGCTTTTTATTTTGAAAAGACTTAAATCCCTTTTGGGAGTGTAGCTAGAGAAGAGGAATTTTGTTTTTGGTTGCACAAACACATTTATCAACACAAGTTTTAAATTGCAAAATCAATCTGGATGTCAGCTACTTCTGAAAGTGGTCAAAAGTGAACAAGCTCAAAACATGTAGACCTGCATTTAACGTCAAAAATAAAGTCAACACCATGCGAAAACAGGAGCTTGAGCGTTCAAGAATGTAAAAGTCATTCTGAAATTCACAAAGTTTCAATTCAAAGGGCGGCATGGTTGCCTCACAGCAACAAGGTCACTGGTTTGAGTCCTGGTTGGATCACTGGGTCTTTCTGTGGTGAGTTTGCATGTTCTCCTTGTGTCAAAAAAAGAAAAGGTATAAATGTATTTAGCTATCTGTATAGATAGATTATATTAAATATTAACATACCCCATTGTTAATATTTGTGCCTAATCACTTCTCCCAAAGTACTGGAAAACTCATGATTTTTTTATTATTAAGGAGAATGCTGAGTTGAGGAGCGTTAATAGATTCAGAATTACTGAGAATAAAGACACTTTTGATAGTCAAATATAATTTTACCCAGGGCTGATTTCTGCATCTTTAGGTCTGAATCTTAAAGTGGTACTATTGAAGGGAGCTTTTCCAGGAGGACACACTTTAGGTAGAGTCCAGTCCAGCTGGTATTTCTGTGGTGAAGGGGTGACTGCCTTTAAAAAAACAAACAACAAAGCAACAGATTTTTAATTGTTCAATTAAAAACAAAAGAAATGGTTGTGTCTATACATGTATATACAATACATACCATGGTCAACTGGTCTATAAAGGCAAAAATCAGATTGTGAAGTGTATTTTTATTTTAAGGAATATTTATATTATTTCAATAAAAACAGCATAGAGGGGTGCATATGTATGCAGATCAAAACAAGTTTTTCAACACGACACAACATTGGAGCCTTTAATTATTAAAAACCTTTGTGATTTAAATTATATATATAAAAAATATTTTACGAGAGTATAATGAATGTTGGTTTGTATTTTTATGTTTATTAACTCAATAATGCAGTTTGGCAACACTGCTGAAAAAAGTAATAGAAACATCACAGAACTTTTAATGGTTTTCACTACAAATATCAAATGAAAAACAAAAACATGAAGCGTTAACAAAAGAATTTCACCTACAAATCAGAGAAGGGCACAGATATAACATTTCCAAGCAAAATATGATTGCCTTCTATTAAAATGCTATCAATATTCGACATGATTCTGCTTTTATTTATTCATTCATTCATTTTCCTTCAGCTTAGTCCCTTTATTTATCAGGGGTTGCTACAGTGGAATGAACCGCCAACTCATCCAGCATATGTTTTACACTGCGTATGCCCTTCCAGCTGCAACCCAGTACTGGAAACATCCATTCACACTTATTCACACACATTCACTACGGCCGGTTTAGTTTTATTCAGTTTACCTGTAACTATAGCTTATGTCTTTGGACTGTAGGGGAAACCGGAGCACCCAGAGGAAACCCACACGAACACCGGGAGAACATGCAAACTCCACACAGAAATGCCAACTGACCCAGCCGGGACTCGAACCTTGCTGTGAGGCGACAGTGCTAACCACTGTGCCACCATGTCGTCACTATTTCTGCTATTATAAATGATTCAAATCTTAATTCAAGTGATGAAAACTCTATAAACCTAGGTGTGTGCATGGTTTCCCCTCAATGTCTTACTGCCAATTATCCATTGCAAATTCTATTAAAAGTTTTTATATTTTATTGTGTTAGCTGACCGTCTTGTAGTGTAAATATATGCTTTTATGGTGACAAAAATAATGTAGTGTAAAAAAGCCATATGTTTAATTGTGGCAAAAGTTATAAACGATACCTTTAAAGCCGGCAGGAATCGTGATGCAGTGCGGGCTGCAAACACATATCCCCTCTTACTCTCAGGTTTGTGTTGGAGTTCATACAGAAGTGTGCCAACCTGCGAAGTTAAAATTACACGCTCATTAACATTATTACTGATACTAATTATTTTAGTTTTTTTTTCTTTTGGCCTCATGTTTTTTTAAAAATGATTATCCATTAATTCTCACCGTGTGGTTGTCGTAACATCCGGGTCCTCCTTCAGCTGAACCAAACTGTGAGAGCATTTCATTTCCCATTCGGTCAGGCGCAAAGTGCGTCGGAAACATGAGACGGTTCTGGCAGCTGCCGAAAGCGACTCTTGAAACTTGAGTTGAGAAGAATTAATGAAGAAAATCATATTTAATGGAAGATTGTGTGTTTTTTGCTAGTAACGTAATGGTGAAATAAATTACCTGAGCCCCGTGTCGCCATAGCTTCCGGATGTTTACTGGTAAACATGGCAACCAGGTGTAAATGAATGCTGATGATTTTTAGTATATAGTTTTTTTGTGAAAAACCATGGAAAATAATTAAACGATGATGCTTCATATGGGGGCTTCACAAGAGCTTCACAAGAGCTTATAAAATGTAACAATGCTATTTAGTATTTGTTATATTTATTTATTTAGTATTTAGCCTATATATATATATATATATATATATATATATATATATATATATATATATATATATATATATATATATATATATATATATATATATATATTGTACCACACATTAATTACAAATCAGCTGATCTAACGTTAGACAGGCAAAAATCGGTTTGGCGGTTTTAGACTTAACTAACGTTACGTTAAGCATTTGAGTGTGTTTTCTCTTTTTAGAAATATTTAGCTTTTATTAGGCTACTTAAAAAACAAAGTGGCGCGGAAGAGTGCATAAAGTTCAAGAGGGTTTCTATAATGTTTGTAAAAAGAATTACAAACAAATCATGAATTGAAATTCAAATGTTCTGGTTAATAAAAGCAAATAATTAGAAAAAAGTTTAATATTACATTTTTTGAGCTTTTTTATGGTATTAAACAGTAATTATCTAAAGCAGTGATTCTCAAATTATTTTCAAGTACTACCTTCAAAATTGTCTCTCCAAGTACCACCATAATGACCAGTATTGAAATACAGTAGCGTAGTAGGCCCAGTGAAGCAGTTACAGCTCTGCACAGTTCAAAAACAAGGCAGATTAATTCCTATTATTAAGAATATTATTGTCAGCCACTTTAAACATTATAAATAGTTTTAACATTAACACTGTACTGTGCTTACAGACAAAAACAAACAAACAAACAAAGAAACAACAAAATAAAATGTCAACATTTACATTGAAATGTGCTTTTAAACTACTGTTCTTAAAAAAACTCCAGTGCTTAAATGTAATATGTATGTTGCACCTTATATATAGGCTATATGTCATCATATTCATAATTATTTTGCTAAATTTTGAAATATATGTTACATGT